TGTGTGTGTGACTAATTGAAGAAAGGCCTTTGTCAATGCCTTCTGACAACATCTGTTACATGAAGGCCTCTCCAAACATCAACCAAAGCGAACTCAGACGCATAATTCCAACATACGATACTCCCTTCACCTCTCGTGAGATCAGAGATTGTAGACGCCTAGGGCTGAAGACTCAGCGAGGTTCCTATGGGTCCTGTTTAAACACACTTGTAGCCGAGTTTGATGTCTACCTTTTTTACAGCCTTCCTTAATTCTGCATCAAACTTTGTGGCATGATAGGAATGGCCCCTTGCCATCTTGATTTTGAGAAGAGTGTTCGAAACTAGACTCCTTTTCAAGTGGTCAAGGCTCTGAGATTAGGATATGGTCCTGTTTCTAGACGAGGGCAGCGTTCACCTAGAGACCCTCGTTGATCCAAGAAAGATCAGGAAATTCAGCTTGGGGATGATACGGAGTGAAAACAAAATAGAAAGAGGGGTTCCACCCACAGTAGTCCCAGAGCATTAGTTCAGATCCAATTTTTCTTTACGGATTCTAGTTTTCAAGGAGAGTGTGGTCTAGGGTGTGGAATCACTTCGTTTCAAGTTGCCATATCCACATGTCTTTAATTTCTCACACTTAAACGGAGATGAGACGCACAAACACTTTTGCATCATCTTCGCTTCGGTCCTCGAAGCCAGATTTAGGAAAGGGCAACCAGCCTATCTATTTATCGAGTTGTGATCCGGCAGTTGAGGAACTTGAGGACGCTTTGCACCTTTAACCGGGTGGCACATTTTGCTCTGGTAAATAAACACAAAAAACACAAGCCTATCCACTCAGCGAGGCCAAGGCCAATCAGGAATCCTCTTCCAGCTCAATCAGTTTCCATACCATGCTTCGACGGTGAGCAGAATAGCAGTAAGCGACCCACAAGCATGTGTTAGCGTTACCACACCAGATCGAGTTTGCAACGCCTTCCGCCTGTTTACGTGAGAGGTAACTTTTTATTATTCAACTCTTATTGCCCCAATGTGTTATTAACTGTGCATCTTTTCCTTAATTTCAGTTTTTGCATTTGCATCAATTTTAGGATGTACTAAGTGACTCTGTGTTAGCAATTCTAGGACCGTCTCATATGTTAGAGCCACCAATTCGGGTAAGGTTGTCTGGGACGGGGATATCATAGTTATCTTGTGGATAGATGTTGCCAGTCGCTGATCTTTCTTTTGCTTGTTCCATATTGTTAACATGTGCTCGGGGGCTTTCCGATATAATCTTAGGCATTTTTTTTCATTCGGGCTCACGCTTAGCCTTGATCAGCGATTGTTCATTGGTCAAGGTTAGTATGGCACCGTCCCGAAGCTCGTGGTCACTCTTCCTCTTGATTTATTTTCTTTACACTTTATGATCTATTTTTATTTAACTGAAGTTACTTAGATTCTTAACAGGGAATAGGAGCCGGTGCAAGCATAAAATCAGAAATATTTCGTCCTGCAGAGAAAACACTCGTTGTTATAAAATACAGATATATAAACACTGAGTGTCGTGTTCAATATACGTCTCTGTACTGGTGCGGTTCCACGCACCAATTCCCTAATATATTATTTATTCCGTTTCTTTATAAACCTATGCTCATCTGTCTGGAGATATACCTATAGTCGCTAATATACCAAATTGCGTAAAGTGAGTCCTCATTATGCCGTCATCTTCTCCTCCAATCAAGTACATTAATATACAAAATAAGCACTTGTTTTCTCGTACCAAAAATGAAAGCTATAAACATTGAGACTGGTTATTGTGGTTGGTGCACCATTGTTGAAAAACTAATCTATTCTGCAGTATTTTTTGTTGCAAAAGCCGATTCTTCCTGTCTGAGTATATTACTATTGATACGTTTTTTTTTTTTTTTTAAAAGGATCTGTTCTTCAAAAGTTTCTTGTTCGGTCACCCAACAGGTTTGTCCTCTTACTTCTGAAAGATCCCTTTGGTTTTATTAATGAAGGGCTATGCAGATTCTAAGCATTTTTTAACGAGTAATCAACAAAAATTGGCTTGTTTAAAAAGAAAGTATTCAATAAAACATGGAAAATTTGACCAAAAGTTGTCTTTGTATCCACAAACAAAGGGACCCACTCTCACCACCCTAAACTGCTTTGCCACACCTAGGGAGATTGAAAAAACATTTGCACCAATTCACTAAACATCACAACTTGATTTTCATTTTAGTTCATGATTTGGCTACAGGAAAGATTATTTACTGGCAGGTTCACTTCAAAATGTCGACACACCTGGATTAGAATATATCCTGAATTCTAATCTCGCCCAAGTAAGGAGCGCCCTCCCACTGAGATGCCCAAGAGGATTTCTGGTATTATAAATGCGACATACCAAGGAGACAGGCCTGACTGACATTCCCAAATTCCGGCCCACACAAACCTCCCTGTTATTCTTCTTTTAGTATCTAATATTTAGTATTGATATGATTTTTTTTTTTGTGTTAAAAGATTACTGCTCTAACCTGATACTTGAATCCCCATCCACACATGAAATTAGCTAACTTAAATTCGTCCCAAGGACTACAGGTACAACTCCACTCGATCCTTCCATTTGTAATTCTATTATTATCTTTGAACGCTTTTAAAAACTTTAAAACCTACTCGCCTTTAAGGCTTACGGGTCATCAATATGTTTTCATAGATGTTAATTCAACTATATAGTATAGGAACATGTTTTAACCGAGCACGCAAGATAGACATTTTCGCTCCCGCTTGCACAAGAATACCCATATGATTGATTTAACAAAGCAAAACATGACACTATGTTGTTGTATGACGCAACCTAGGGAAAGTTTCAACATGTTCAATAGCGAGTAACAGTGTTACACAGGCAGGTATAACATTAGGAAAAGAAAACAACTAAAAAAATCAACAAACAAGAAGCACTTGTTGTTTTTATTTACACCAATTAGAATGTAGTTCTAAATACTTAACTGGGTCATGGCGCAACTTGGCAAAAAAGCTTACATAATTAAGCTAATCAGTCAGCTAATGACGACTGCCCACCTGCGATGGCCAAGAATGGAAGTCAATATTCTATCTAAATTTAAGCGATCACCAGCTGGAAGTGGAACATCTAAACATAGCATAAGAAATTAGTGAACAAAAAACTTGCTAGAGTTTTGAATCTTTCCAGCAAGTCACAAGCAAAATCAACTACTATCTGGAAGAGGACAGATGTCAGAGGGAATCCAAGCTTTTGCAAGATTCTAACATGTCATTTAATTTAGGGTAAATTACACTAATCTCCCAGCAAACTCCACAACTTTGAAAAAATTACAGTGACCTCCCTTTTAGCGAGGTTAAAGGGACAGGAACAAATGAAGATGGTATGAAGACACAAAAATAAATAAGGAAAAAATGTACATTTCATTGTAAAAGAGATGACATCATCATTTTTCCATCTACGTGACTAACAAATTTCTAATGAAAATGAGGCTCAGTGCTATGCGAATTAAAACCTTAAGAGAGTCCAATGTAATTATGCTAAACTTGTGAGGCTTACTATATATTTTTCAAACCTTAGGAGAGGTTAATGTAATTTACTCTTTAATTTATGTTTGGCAGGCCAATATACAGAATTATGAACCTTGATGAAGAAGAAGCTTGGATATAAACTTGATATACAAGACAGCACCTTTGGTCAATATTCGAAATTAGATGGATCCAAATTTTACAAGCACCCACGAGCACGATTTCCAAAGATCCTGATAGCATGATTTTTTATTTAATTTTTTTTTAAAAGTTAGAGAGCCTAATAGAATGATACAGCTCCTTCTTCCAAATTACATAGAAAAGGCTAAGAACATGTTCAAGAATGGTTTCTACTCCTTGAATACACATTAATACACATTAGCCATTAGATGAAGATCATGGACATCGTAGTGGTGCCGTGTCTACTCGTATGGTCCATATTAAGGACATACTGAAATATCATAAACATGGATGCTAAATGGGGCAATGTACCGTAAGATTTTATTTATTGTTAATACCATCTGATGAAAGAAATCTATACAAAAACAAACAAATAAATAACAATATCAAGTAGGAAGTGGAAAAGAGCTCATTAAAAAAATAAATATAGCAAGAATTATTTGTCAATTGTAATATGTATGTTAAATACCTACATTACATTACCACTACCAATTAGACATAAGCATAGTAAGATCTCATTAAAAAAGTAACAATTCATATCAGAATTAGAAGAACTATTAAAAAATTTCATCCATAAATTCCTAAGAGGAAAACCAAAATAGAGAATAAATATCTATTGTCTACATATTTTCTTTTGACTTGATAGTTTTTTCATCATTCATAATGTAAACCTTTCATAATTTGTTGCTTCAGACTTTGCTCTTGCAACAACTTGCCTCCCATCTGCTGCTAATCCAGCAACTGTCTGTAATCAATGGTAAATTGCAAAGGAGAGCAATAAGCAATGTTCATCAATCATCTTTTAGCAAATAAAAACCTAAAAAAGAGGAAACACAGAGAGTGAGAGAAAATACATAAATCTTCTTAGCTACCTATTTGTAGAATAAACAATAAAACTATTTAAATAAAAGACAGTTACAGATCAAAACCATTGAAGCTGACTACCTGAGAGAACTAAAACAAATAAAACAGTTATAGATCCGATACCTAAGAAAAATAAAAACATAGATCGAAATCAAAATCATCCAAAACAAGCTTGAGTCAAACCAATAAAAGAGAAGAGCACCTAGATCAACAATGGAAATAAATTACAATTTATCCAGAGTACATGAACTCATTAACAAATAAATCTCATATCCAACTAACCTCCACACCTCCAGGAAAGCCGAATGAAAGAAGATCCTTATACTTAAGTGGCAGCTGTTTTTCAGGAGGATAAACAAATAAGACCTGAAAATAAAAAACTGAGAGGTCATATATCATATCCAAAGCATGTCCAATGATCTATAAAATTATTATGTTCAATGTTTAGCATAAAAGAATTAGCACCTGGGGTTCAAGGTTAGGCTCTACACGAGACTGATGCTGACCACTTAATGCACTTCGAAATTTACCTGAACCTTCAGACTTTCTCCCGAAGTACTGCTTCTGAAGTGCCTGAATATCACAATTAGGATGAAGTCCAACAACCACCATGCTCTCAAAAAGCCTTGATGGCTCTTTTAAAGGCCTATGATCCTGCAAATTTGAATAACACACTTAGTAAAACCAGTGTTGCTATAAAACCTACCATAGAAACACAAAGGACAAAAATTTCATTTTTATTACGACCATCTGTATAAAAGGGAATGGGAACACACAAGAATCGAAGGCATTTGACGTTATGAGCAGGTTTGAACTCAAATTGCACAACTTCTTATAAGCTTTCCATTCAAAGTAAGCACTACATGGTGAAACTACAAGATATATGCAAGATGACAACAAGTACCAGAGCAAAATGAACAGCTGATTGCTAAAGAGATAAGTAACCTGGACCAAAAAGGGTTTTACTTGAGATAAATATAAATACCAGGGACTGCAATTGGACGCTTGCCCATTGACGCTTTTGGCTAGTTAGTACTTCTGGGTTATAAGTTCCACTTTTCACTTCAGGAGGCTGTGAAAAGCCTTTTAGTACTCTAGAAACTTGGTGTTGAAGTTTATGTAGTGGACTATTGCCGTTGTCATCTTTTGATGAGAATACCACATATGGTCGGGGTGAACGAACAGTAGTGGCAGCAGCAGCTGCAGCAGCAACAGCTCTTGCAACATCTTCTATTGTCTGCATAAAGAGTGAAGCACTCCAGCTAGGGCTACCTGAATCTTCATTCTTCACCACGTATCTTTACGATAACGTTACTCACAGTGGTTCCAGTAAGTGGTCAATCAATCCTCGAGTCTTGACCTATAATCACAAAATACATAACACAAGCATGTCTTATCATTACACATTCAAGTGGCCATTAAGGCTTAGCTTTCATTAGATTGGTTCTTATTCTTTCTTATTACATTGCCTAAAACACACACACTTGCAGTCTCGGAACTTAGTACATTCTTTTCTTAGTGTGTTTCTAATCTATAACCTCATTACTATAGCTTAATTAAGGCTTAGGAATGCCTAAGAAGCAATGAGGATGCCAAAACATGCCTTGGAACACTTAGGAAATTTTTTTGAAAATAAGGTCCACGCTCGAGCGTAGCTTTCCTCGCTCGAGCGGACATGCAAAATGTGAATGGTTGCTCGAGCGCACATTCGTTTGCTCGAGCGATCTGTAAAAGACATGAAACTTCTGGGAGCTTGCAATTCACGCTCGAGCGGAATTTTGGTCGCTCGAGCGGAGTGCACGCACTCAGATTGGTCGCTCGAGCATGAACTCCCATGCTCGAGCGTAGATGCAAATTCTGGAATTTCCAGATTGCACCTTCAAGCTTAAAACTCGAATTTCAACCTTCAAAACATATCTCTTGGGCCCCAAAACTTGAGATAACATAGTAAACTTGTAAAACATGAAGAATTTAGGATCATTTCATAAAATCATGGGCCAAGGGTTTGCCAAAAGTTCCCAATTTCAACTTAAACTTCAAGAATGTTTATGAACACAACATGCATGAATTTTCTTGTATCAAACTTCTCAAAACATGATCAAACACCACAAAACAACTTGAAACTTGATGATTTCCCCAAATGAAGATGAATTTCAAACACGCAAGAGAGGTTTCATGGAAATCATGCTCAATTTGTAAGAAAATGTACATGCATGGATGAATTAACTCTAAATTCAACATCTTTGGTCCAATTCTTGTACACAATCACAAATTCTTCTTGAAATGATCTACTTGATGGTTAAAAGTCATAATTAAGTCTTAAATCCTTACCTAGAGTCTTGAATTACTTTTGTTCTAGCACAATCTTTGATTAATTCAAGCTATAACCTTCAATTTCTCCTTAATCTCTTCTTATCTCTCTCTAGAATTGCACTCTCTCTCTCTCTCAAATGAATTCTCAAATTTTAGCACTAAGGGACAAAAGGATTGAGTTCAAAAATGAGCTTAAGGCTCACATATATAGCTATGGTGCTAAAATATATTAATTAGAATATTAGGCTAACCAAACATGACTTAATTAATCAGACTGAATCAATTTTTAATAAAATTTTCCATATGGTTCTAAAAATTCCAAATAACGTATCGGTGTAGTCAATTTCGGTTTCGAGTGCCGATAAGGCTTTCGATTTACATATTAAAGTGGAATTCCAAACAGATATTTCTATACGTAACAGATAGAGAGCCAAAATCATACAAAGTGCAGAATAAACACATAATTTATTTTAATCGTCTCGTTAACATCATTAAATACGGATTAGTGGCTAATTACGGATAGGGGTTGTTACAACAGCGAAGCTTCTTATACTTTTCATCAAGGGACTCCTCGTTGTCAACATCACAGACACCAAAGCTCCCTAAGGTAGAAAGGGACACAATTATTTAAAACCAAAATTTCCCCTTCCTGCCCAATTTACTCCTGCCTAGCATTTCGTTATCTTCATTGACACTAGAGAAGAAAGATGTGATAAACATTAGAGAGTTAGCTAGTCATGAAGAGCTCTACTGCGTAATACTCATCACAATTTGTCAATCGCTTAATAAAATCTCAATATTATCATACATATATTCTAGCTACAATGATTTTAAGGCTTCATCTCAATACTCATTCATATAGGCGACTAAAAGTAAAAATGATACATAATCGGTGAGGCTAGTTTTTTCATATGAAAATAAGTTTTTCAAAGAAAGATAACAAAAAGAAAAAGAAAAATATTAGCCTCAATATACCAGAATAGGTCCTAAGTTTCTTTAGGAGCTCTAAGGTGGGTGCAACAGGTTTATTGAATACCAAGCAAAACATCTGCAAGAACAAATTGAAAGCAACCTCAACTGTAAGTTAGGATTGGCCATGCTTTTAAATTCCAATTGTGGTAGAGACAATAGGAAATGAAATCGTAAATTAAAAACTGATTAAACATGGATGTTCAGAACCCACAAAAAGAATTTAAATGTAAAAATGAAACTGAATGTTGAAGAATTGTTCTAAAACTTCATGCTAACTATTTTATAGCTTTGGTTATATGATATTTGTTGTATATGTACTATTCAATCTAGCTCTGTTTAACCAGTTTTCTGAAATTTTATTTTAGTTGTTCTAACAAAAACAACATAAGGTATAGGTTAGAATTGGCCAAGCTTTTAAACCACAGAGCCATATATCAAGCAACTGAAAACCATGAATCACAATAGCTTGCAAAAAAAATTTGCAGACCGAAGAACCTTCAACCTGTGTTTATTATATGTTCCACGGGGAAAATGTTACATGATCTATGGATAGATCCATCCATTATAAAAATGAAAAGACTTCCCAATAAGAGTACATGTAATGTCTCAAAAGCAATACTAAGAGGCTGGAAAAATAACAACAGAAACATGTACGATTCTAATGTTCTGTATATCAGTAGACACATCTTTATCCTGTAAGTAGCAAAAAAAAAACAAGAATACGTAAATGAAAAATTCATGAATAACCAAAAATTGGAAAAGGGAGGTGAAACTAGTATGGACATTAACTCTTGTGATTCGCAAGAGGGGAAAGTTTAAAAATCGTCATTCCTAATGTTTAAGATCAATTGTTAGAAGTTTAAAAATTGTCATTCCTATTACTACCGTCATTAGTTGAGTAGTAGGCAATTTACTGTCATTAAGATCTCAAGAGTTTGATTGCAATACTACATACATATGGCCCAGTGAGAGACGATTCATTTATCATTTTTATTCTTAGTGAGAGAAAACAGAGAAGAAGGCCATATATATATATACACACACACACACACACACAAGTTCAATCCATGTAATAATTAGAAATTGAAAATCAAAAAAAGAAAATGATAGTGTAACACCTGAAAACTCACTGAAACAACAAATTAACAACATACAGAATACAATATTGATCGAACTGTGCAAGAAAACAAGTTTTCATCTCCAACACGCATTAGATTAGATATACATATATAAACACACAGAAGTTCAATCTATGTAAAGAATTCTTCAATTCAACACGCATTAAGATATATATATACACACAAAAAAAGTTCAATCTATAAAATAATAAGAAATTGAAAGTTCAAATTGGAGCCCTTACAGGTCGATTACGGAGAGAGAGAGAGAGAGGGAGAGAGACGCACCAAAATTTGAATAAGATTGAGCTCCCAATCTGCCTTGGAGCTCCCGACTTTAGGGCTGAAGATTGAGCAAATCCGTTGAAGAGAGAATGAACAAGTTAGGGCTGAAGTGAAGTCCCGACTTTTTAATTGTTAAAATGATAAAAAAATATTTGGTCTCAAAATGTTTGTAATTGATAATGACGAAAATATTTGGTCCCTAAAGAGGTTAATAATATATTAGCAACCAAATTTATTGGTCTAAACAAGTTATGTAACTATTAAGTGAGAATATCAATAGTTATTTTTACAATCTTATAAGTAAATTATCACATATTTAAATTTATCTCTAAAAGATTATTTTTAGCGACTAAATTTAATTAGTCTCTAAATATTAGTCTCTAAAAGACTAATTTCTTGTAGTGAGGCTATTATAGTATTTTTTTGGTTATTTAGCTAAAATATGAAGAAAAAAAAATTAATATATTTGGATTGATTTTTGACCTTTAAACTGTAATAATCTCGAAAGGTGAGAAGTTTCATAAAAACACACGGGTCTGACAGTGCCATAGCACAAAGACTTCTGTTAGAAAATGGAAGTTAGCACAAACAACCCATCGACAAGTACTCAATTTCACCTTTTCTGCTTATGAGAAGAGAGTTGAGAGGTTGATAGATATATGAGGTATTTTTTAATTTTAATAGTCAACAAAAAAATATCTATATTTGCGACATTGAGGAATATGAGAGATGGAGAGAGAGTGTGAGTAAGAGACAAGAAGTTGATAGAGATGATAGATCTGAGAGTTTAGCCCGCCAACATAGAGATATTTTCATAATTTTGTTGGGCAGTAGAAAATAACTAGACATTTTGTTGACTTGTAAAGACTATAATATAATTTTAGATCTATTTTTTAGATTGAACCATGGGTGTGTGAAATGATAGGTTAATGATTAGAAAAGATATACGAAAGTATTGTCTTAAATATTTTAATTGATTGTCACGTCATTAAATTTAAAAAAAAAAATTAATTTTTAAGTTAGAAAAGTAATGCCCTATTTATAATTGCACATTTTTCATTAATGTGGTTAGGATTTTTTACAATATCAATAGGTTAGGGCCAGTGTATATATTTTTCAGTTAATACTTGACAGTAAGGGTCGCAATTCATAAATTTATTTGGGTAGGTTTTTAAAATATTATAGTTTCTTATGGGTGGAATGGTGTCACTGACTCACAAACATGTGTCAACTAGCCTTTGATAAACAAAAAGTTTTTTTTCTATTGAAAAGTAGATTATTATTAGATTTTTTTTCAAAACAAAAAAATAATAATAAAATAAAAATGTGACTAGCATTTGTGAGGTAGATTTAATTCTTGTATGGTAATTGGTGTAGTTAGGGTTAATGTTTTGAATGAATTTAAACTATATATTATTTTTGTGAATAAAATTCTAGGAATCAAATACCTCGTGAATTTGTTACGATTATTATTTTTGTGAATAAAATTCTAGGAATCAAATACCTCGTGAATTTGTTACGATTTATTGTTAAAATAAAAATGTGACTAGCATTTGTGAGGTAGATTTAATTCTTGTATGGTAATTGGTGTAGTTAGGGTTAATGTTTTGAATGAATTTAAACTATATATTATTTTTGTGAATAAAATTCTAGGAATCAAATACCTCGTGAATTTGTTACGATTTTATTGTGATTTTAACTAGGGTACTCGGTTTAAAAATTCAAAATTTAAATTTTTGTTGCCCACAAGTTCAGGCACTGGAATACTTTGTCCAAAGGACAAGTTTAAGCAAAATGATAAAAAAACACCCTTATATATATATATATATAGATATATCATATACACAGTTATCACATAGTTACACACACACACACTCTCTCTCTCTATACTCTCTCTCTTTGCTACTCTGTCGCTGCTTCCTCTGTCGCTGCTTCCTCTGTTGCACTCCTCCGCCCTCTTCCATCGCCCTCTGTAAATGATCTTTCTCTATCCTCTCTGTCTCCAGATTGAGCTGCGAGCAGAGATCAAGAGATCTAGACTAGTGTTCAACTCACTCTCTCTCTCTCTCTCTCTCTTTCTCTCTCTCTTCCTTCTATTACTTTGGCGACGACAGTTATGGTCACATTCGTCAGTCTTCGACGCCGTGCGTAACACCCCCAAAATAATTAAATTAAAACATTGCTCATAACATGATTAATCCCAAAATCCCTCTTTTCCTTTAATCTACATATCAACTATTACAAATGTCCATATTCTTGTCTTAGTTGCAACAACATTAACATAGTTCAGTAAGCTAGATGATAAAAATAATAATGTCTTAATGGCCTACAAACATCAAGGCAGGGCCTTGTTTCAATAAAATAGACATGTGGTCCAAATACACATTAGCTCCGGAGCTTCAACAAATATCATCCACTAAACCCACATCCTCCATTCAAAAATCTTCATTGCCTTGTCACTAGGGCGGAATCACACCATCAATTCCTGAAATGTTGTTAATTGGGGTGAGCTAATGCCCAATAGAAAATACTATTAACAAGACATATAAATAATCGAGATGCATATGATCATGCCATGCACTTGTTAGGATTAATTCCATATTTTCTCTTTTAAAACCAAAATGTTTAATACATGATTTCCAATCAAAGTCCCATCTACAACCATGGGGTGGTAAATATGCTATAACGTCCCAAGCAAGAGCCACAAAATCATACATACATATATAGAGTTATATACAAAAAATATTTCTACATTTGCTGACTCTAAAAACGGCAGGGCAATGGGTACCTAAAACCTTTCCCTTTCCACTTTTGCTGACTCCAGAAAGATGGGCTTATAGACACCCAAAATCAAGTTTTCCACATACGCTGACTCTATAAATGGCAGGCTCATGGACACCCAAAAATATTTTCCACATTCGTCCAAAGATATGCACAAGACAGGGCAATTGGGCACCTTGACTCCCCGTGTGGGTACCAAAAACAAAACACAACCCATTACCAAAACCCGACTCATCTACCCGAACTCATATGCTATTTACCCCCTTTGACATTTTCCAAACATCCAAAAGATTGTAAAATCACATGAGAAAATTATGATACACATGATGTATGGATTTTCAAATAAATTTTCCGTAAGGTTTGTTCAATCTACAATAGCATTAATAATATCAACAATCAAAAGATTTCTCCAATTTCACAATTTTCACAATCTCAACATATATCAATCTTAATACATATACCCAAAGAGCTTCAAAAATCTCATATCTCAACGCCATTTCTATAATCCTTCGCCCAATTTTACGATTTAAAAGTCAATTTGGCCAAACTTATTATTAGATCAAATTTGAAAATTAGGATTTTTGAAAAAATTAGGGCTTTTCCCTCCTTTGCACATAAAGAGTCAATATTCACAATTTTTAACAATAATCAAGAAGGATAAACATGGGGAAAACCCCTTTTATTCAACAAACCCACTTTATCTCACAAAATCATCTCATACATTATTATAACTAAGAAAATATTACATATATATATACATATCTCAAATCATAAATATATCAAGTTAAAAGTACCCGTACCTTAAAAATGAAGACAAGAAGATGCAAACCCAAAGAGAAACCTTGAAGAAATCGCAATCCAATCGGTAAAAATGTTGATATTCTCTTGTTCTTCACCTTTAATACAAGATCTATGGTGGATTCTTGGTGAAAAATAGATGAAATCAAGGTTTGGAGGTCTAGGGTTTCGGGTATGGAGGAGAGAGAGAGAAGAGAGGAAGAAAGAATGAAGAGTTTAAGCCAAAAAGTGACTTTAAAGTACTAGATTTCAAACAGACCGCTTGAGCGATCGAAGCTTGGCTCGAGCAGTGAAAGAAAGCTTCCAAAATCTTTGAAATTTGGCAAGACTGCTCGAGCAGTCAAAAGTTCGCTCGAGCGGACTTGCTTTTAACAGAAGTGCTCAAATTTCAAACGGGTATAACTCCCTCATCTGGACTCTGTTTTAGGTCTTTTTTTGTGTCCAAATCGAAGCTCTGAAAACAAACTTTCAAATGATTTTAGCCTCACATTCAAATTCAAAGTGTGGAGAGAGAAAAAGGTAAAAGAGTGAAGACTGCTCATAAGACAATTATCTGAATCAATGTTTTTTGTTCAATCCTACTTTAGCATTATGATACCACCTCAATCAATATTCCAAAATGAAGCAAAGAGGCTCCAAGTACAATAATAAGAGTGTCATGAGCAATCCCACTAGTCCAAGGAGTACGAAGTGTTATATTCTCTCCACCTTAGAAAATTTTGTTCCCGAAATTAGACAGTTCAAGATTTAAAGTTTGGACAAATCCAAATTAAATAAAGATTGGAACTAACACTCCCACTAACTAATTACAAATGACCTCCAGTCAACAACGAGTTTCTAGAAGATACTACCAATGCAAAAGTGTACAAGCACGAAATTATCTTATCGTATAATCCTGTTGATCAAGTCTGCGCTCCTCCAAACGTCATCGTTTTACTTCCTGAAAACACAAACATGAGCTAGATGGCGGGTGTGTGCCGGATACCTCTTCGATGCCTAAGTCAGCAAAATAGACAAATAGACAAAAGCTCTGTGTATTCGGGAATCAAAGTTGAGCTAGACGGCGGGTGTGTGCCGGATACCTCTCCGATGCCTAAGTCAGCAAAATAGACAAATAGACAAAAGCTCTGTGTATTCGAGAATCAAAGTTGTTTTACCTCTATATAGGTTCTGTTGTGAGCTTTTATAGTTTTTGCCTAGCACAATCCTAGTAGGACTCTTTATTCCTCCATGCAGAGTCCTCCTAGGAATCACACTCTTGAAAGATAATGCATATCCTTCAACACCCTTCTCACTGCCTAAACCAAGTGAGATGGTTTTACCACGGTTGGATATCAAAGCAACTGAGATAACAAACGCCGACGCGGCCAATTAAGCCGAACTCTCTTTAGCTCGGTTCTACCTTGCTTTACCTAGCTTGGAATGAACTTGTGTGTACAACTCCTTGCACCTCAGTTCGGAATACTTGAACCGAGCTAACTTTAGTCACCCATGACCGGGCTAACAGAGTCCAGCGGCGAAGCCCATTCTTCTCAGCCCATAGTTTGGCGCGCTTCTTCCCTGTCCTAGCTCGGCCCAGACTTACGCTTTTTACCCTCTCAAAAAGATTTTGCATGATGAACAAGAAACAACTCCAAGAAAGAAGATAAGGCATCCCAATGATATAAGGGGTAGAAAAATTCCCAATAAAATTGCAATCACCACTCCAGAATCTAGTTCGAAATCTAAGGATAATTCTCGTATTTTTAGGTTCCACACTAACATTCAGACCTACTCATATAATATGAATAACAACACTCAAGTGGTGAGTCTTTCTTCCAACTTATCCACAAGGATTACCATGGCCCACTCAACCCAGACAGGCGACTCCCATTACGTATGGGTCCCCATTTAGCAGGATTAAACAAAATGGTCTCGAGTACCTCTAACAAGCCACAAGAACCCATCGGTTCCATGAAACTAAAAGTCAAGGGTAGAGGTCTCACTAACATACCCTACAGTACTCCTGCCTCAAATAGACTCAACTTCCAGGGAATAACTCTTAGTTGTCTAACGACCTAGAACCTTAGAAAAATAGTTCTCAATTCACATTCACACTCCAAGAACAATTATCGGTCACTTAGCACCTCAATTTTCAAAAGAATATCTCACATCACTTCAGAAGTCCTCAACCCCCTTTTATGAAAAGAAAAGAAAGAGAAGGAAAAATTTTCTCATAGGAATCCTATTCGCCAATCATGGCCTTCCGACAAGATACAATCCAACAAAATCAAAGCACCACAAACCACATTCTTGCAATACAGCTAGTGTTCCATATCCACACATTACTCAATTGTGTTATTGAAATACTTAAAAGTTAACAATAACCAAAAATAATATTTCCAGACCTTTGAAAATTGAAGGCATTCATAATTTGTATAAACTATATCTATAAATAAAGGGGTGTTTTAGATATATAAAAGTGAATGGTAAGAATAAAGAGTTTGAAAAGGAATGATTTTGTGAAAAATAGTGAAGGTTTATACATGTCATACGACCCAATACGTCCACTTCATGACTATTTTTCCTTTACTCACTAGTTTATTTATAATGCTAAATTGTTTTTTTTTTCAATGTTCGGCAAAAACAAGTATACCTAATTAGGAAAACTCCATTCTCAACTCTCTTCTCAAACATATTTCAACCGTTGACTCCTAAACGTCATCCAACTAATGATCCTATCACCATGGTGATGCCACAATCCAATCATAATAATACAAGCAACACAATTCAGAACAATAACGATAAGGTTAAATAAAACAACAAATAAGTTTTACTTATAAACTTGAGAAATCGTCTTCCCTCATAACTATCATTACAATTCATCGACCATTCATTAATTTTTTTTTTCGAACTTGTAAAAACAATTTTCGCAACTACCCTATCTTGGGCATCATACGCAACTAACTAGAAACAATTATCAAGCAGTTAGTATGATTTGTCACTCTCATGAGTGACACATACACACACCAAGCAAGCAATCCTCACCAACAAGCCTCGTTTCTAGACTTAAGACAAGTTTTGATGTAACGCCCCAGTTTCCTATGCCCAAATGATAACACAACCATCATGGCTCCTTAAAGGAAAACAAACATAATTCTCCACATTTACATTACATTATACCATTAATTCCTCAATGCGATTATACGTTTAATCCAAAATCAAATAAATAAACAAATAGATACCCCCAAGGGTTTATAAGTTTCCAAGGCTTAGGTCCGATTACACAAAACGGTTATTCAAACCCACACAAATACAGCCCTTGGCTTACAAAACAGAGTCATGCAAAATGAGAGCATTGTACTCTCAATACACATATTTTCACACCTCTAGTTGGGTGGGATCACCCCATTTTTTTCTGCACAAAAATCCCGTAGGGTGAGCATAAAGCCCAGTAGGAAATTCTTAACAAAGTATATACATTTTATACAAGTCTCAAAAGATAAAATGCATATGCCATGCTATGGCTTTTTTGAAGATAAATCACATTTTCATCTTTTGAAAACCATCATGCTCAATGATGTCATACAATTTCAATTGTTCAAAACTTAACAATTTATTTCAAGAGCGGTAAATACGGCTCTCATAATCCGTAGGTCGGTGTCTACAAGTAGACTATACAAGTATTACCAAATTGTCATTTTTACCGGTATTAACCGAAAGACTCGACACCTATCCGCGCGGGTTTTCAGTCTTTCACCCCGGACTCTCAGGCCAACTTATTCAATATCATCTACACCATCTATCAAGACTTACCAACATATTTATCCAAAACCATTCCATGAAAACTTGTTTCTCAACATTCTTTTCTCAATGCAAGTTTTCAAATCAACTTTCAAAGTTTAATGTAATCAAATGAATTGATATGCCAATTTCACAAGATAAATATAAATACTTTTATTCCAATTCATCATCCAAGGAATACCACAATTCCCTCTTCTCAAGTATCTTCAACAATTAGTCATTTTAAGACTATTTCAACGTTTTGAATAATAATTTCCAAAATGAACAACAATTTTCATATTCCATGAAATTCATCATTTATATAAATATAAATAATAAATTTTCCAAACATCCATTTATTTTGACACACAAAATAAATATAACAATATCATTCATGGATTTTGAATCTCTTTTAAAAATCCTCAATTTCAAGGTTTTCTCACCAAAACTATACAACCCAAATCTTTTGAAAGAAAACTTTCCAAAATCATCATTTCTTCAATCAACAAAGATCAAGACCCATAAGATCATTTTAAAATAATAAGAGACAAACCCATTTTCAAAATCGCTCAACTTCTTCAATCAACAATCAATTTTCAAAAACCATCAAATGATGATTTCGAAAATCATCTAGATCTTGCAAATATATATGTATATATATAACTCAAAGAAAATCCCTATCTCAAGTTTGAAGAAGAATAGAGATGAAACCCCAAAATCAACGATGCCTAAACTCGATCTCCACCGCACACAACAAAGCCTTCGAGATGATAACCTACTTTAATGAAGAAGCAATAGTAAAACTCAAATGGATCTTGAGAAATCAAGGTTTTTGATCTAGTTTGTGTAGAGAAATGTAGAGAGAAAGGAGAGGAAATGTTTTTAGAGAGATATCTACAAAAGTGATCTGAAATATCAGATTCACGAACTGATATAA